TTAGTCATAAAAAATACCCACAAATAAAAACCCAGGGGCAGATGGCTTCACTGCTGAATTCTATAAACATTCACAAAAGAATTATTACCAAATCTTCACAATAAGAGAAGTCAGAGATTAGTAAATTCTGTGAGATTTAGCCCATTTCTTTTTGTATTTTGTAGCAAAGTTAATTCTTTGGTTGAATATGATTTTGGTGATTTTGTGTGTGGCACTATTCAGGTGACTAAGACATGCTTATGCTGACAGAAGTGTTATGGACAGTAATGGCAATTCCTTATCTGATATGCATGTCTATTACTATAAGAAAAAATATTTTTACTCCTCTGGGAAAGAAGGGCTCCAGTAATCAGTTTACCACTTGGCAGCTAGTTGGTTGCACCAGGAAATGTTGCCAAATATATGGGTCAGCATTGTCCCCTGCTGTGGGAGTTTTGGACATCTGGTAATAGGTAGTAGCCAGATCAGCCTTTGTAATAGGAAGGCAATGTTTTGGATCCCAGTCATAGTATCTAACTTGGTTACCATCACACTTAATGTATGGACCTATGGAGTTTCAGATGGAGAGGAATATCTTCAGGAACTGTACTTAGTGGATTATACCTAGGATCCTCATACACATCTGGTTTAGATGATTTAGATGATGAGATTTTGACTTTTGAGCTAATGCTGTAATGAGATGGAGTTCTTGTGAACCTCTTGTGAACCTTGGGGGAAGGTGAATATGTTAACCTTGGGAGGTGAATATGTTTTGCATTTGGGAAGGAAATGAATCTTCAGGAATCAGAAGGTGGACTGTGGAGAAGAATTTTAAGATTGCCTACCACATTGCCAACTGGCATTACATACATACCTTCTTCCAGTTATTTAATCAAACACTAATCCACGTGTTTCTGTGAAGCCATCTGTAGATAGAATTAGGGTTTTAAATCAGTTGACTTTAACATGAGAAAATTATCTAGGTGGCCCTGACCTAATCACACCATCCGCCCTGCTTTTTTTTAGAGAGGGAGAGAGGGAAAGGGAGGGAGAGAGAAATTCTTAAGCAGTCTTCATACCCAGTGCAGAGAGCAATGCTAGACTTAATCTCACAATCCTGAGATCACGACCTGAGCCAAAATCAAGGGTCAGATGATTCCACCCAGGCACCCCACATTATCCCTTTAAATAGTGGTCTAGAGTCAGGTACAGAGAAGTCAGAGATTAGAAGCATGAGAAAGAGTCAATGCACTATTGCTGGCTTGAAAATGGAGTGAGCCTTGTGGTAAAGAATGCAAGATATTATAAGCTGAAAAGAGCTCAGCTGATAGCCAGTAAAAAAATATGCAGTACCACAGTCCTACAGCTGCAAGGAACTGAATTCTGAAAACACCTTGATGTCAGCCTTGTGAGACCCTGAACAGAAAGCATAATCATGCAGTGCAAGACCTCTGGTCTACAGATGTGTGAACTAATAAATGAATGTTTGGTTAACCTCAGTGTGTGGTAATTTGTTGTGCAATAGTAAATTATTATATCATGGGACACAAAATCTGCACTGTTAATAATTTTCCAATTTAATTCTTTCCAAAATCCTTGATCAACCTTTTCATCATTGCATATGGGTCAGAATAGACCCATACCTACATCTATGAAGAGTTGTATACAAAGACCCATATGAACCACATAGCATTCTACTTACTGGCAGCATGTTTCTTTTCTTTTTTTTTTTTATTTGACAGACACAGAGCACAGATAGGTAGAGAGGCAGGCAGAGAGAGGAAGGGAAGCAGGCCCCCCGCTGAGCAGAGAGCCTGATGCGGGGCTCGATCCCAGGACCCCGGGATCATGACCCGAATGAAAGGCAGAGGCTTTAACCCACTGAGCCACCCAGGCACCCCTGGCAGCATGTTTCTTGCCCAGTGTTTTTCCAAGTCATTCCTTAGACATCCATTTACATCTATTGTCAACATACCAAGAAGATACATTGACAAACTTGATGATTGTTTTTCTTCTAACTGGTTATGAGGCCATACATAATGGTGGAGAGATAGAGACAATGAAATAGCAGGAATAAGTATGATGTAATTTACTTGTGCCACTTTGATGTACCCAAGTCCAGTTTTTTAATCCATTTGCCAGTGCTCACACAAAACTTTACTATTTAACAGAGTAAATAGAAACAAGCTCATAATGGGTGTCTCATTCATACAGAAAATTAAATACTTCATGGCCAGGTGTTAAGTCTCTACCAGGGTCTCGTAGCAAGCCCAAGTGAGCATCTTCTCAAATGGATACTAACTGCTAAAAGAAGAGGGCATGGTTTGTTCAAAAACCCTAGGAGTATGTTTTTTAATTCTATTATTGGGGATTTTTAAGGCTACATAGACTCTGTATAGCAAGGATATAATAAAATTGGGTCTTCAGGGTCATGAGACTGAAGTGTCAGAGAAACTAGCACTATAGCCCGGACCTGCTGTAGTACTTTTCCTTTCTCTGGGTATCACTTAAAATTGGAAACCATATGGAGTCCAACCACAAAGCCAGTATGATATACATTGTCTCTAAAATCTAAGGTCCTGATTCCTACAGGCTAACCGGAGAAAGATCACCTGCAGGTAAATCAACTGTTATCCCTCCATGGCAGCTCCTTATCCTGGCTTCCCACCCTGGCAAGCATACTGTTCCTTTATGACACTGTGCTCCTGTGACATAGTCTTCCACTGGATCTTTTTACAGCACAGATATCACAGTTGTTTAGTTTCACTTTACAGAGCCTGTCTTCCTGGGGTTGAGAAGTTCCACTCCAGCCAAGGAGTTCTCCTTGGTGCTGGTAAAACCTGTTAGAAAATTAAAATTATTTTTCCAAAGTTAATTATGTAGATAAGGGCTAAACTTCGGGAACAACTTAAGGTTCCCAAATTAGTCCTTATTATTTATGCTTTTATTAAATACCTACTATTTGTCGGGTACTGTATTGGGCACTAGATATACAAATATAAAATGGGCTGGATATGTTTTGAGATGCAAAGAATCCAATAAAGTGTTTCTCAGTTTTTTAAAACCACAGCCCACAGTGAGAAATATATTTTTGTATCACAACTTATGTTACACACATGCACACACACACACACACACACACACAAACATCTGAAATACAAATGTCATATAATATTCACCATACCTGCAATGTGATATTTTCTATTTGCCTTTATTTTATCTTATTTCCTTAGCAATTTGCAAGTCTTGATCCACTGAATTAATTTCAAGACCTATTAATTCATGGGAGAGTGTGTATCTTATATGGTACATATATTTATATTTTCAGGTACATATTTGATGGGAAGGTGGGAGTGGAGAGCCTGAAAAGAGTCTCCATCTAAGCCACTTGTTCTCAAACTTAAATGTGCACAGGAATCATCTGGGAATCTTGTTAAAATGATCCTAACTCAGTAGTTCTGAAGTAGGGCCTGAGATTCTGCATTTCTAATTAACTCTCAAGTGATACTGAGGAGCTGCTCCATGCACCACATGTTCACTAATAAAGATCTAAAAATCAGATATGTTTAAGTGTTGACTGAACTGCTAAAGTGGGGCCTGACAAGTTTCCTGGGAGAGAACTCCACCTAGGAGAGAGTTTGCAGATATTAACCTATAAGAATAGCGCAACTTAAAAAAAAAAAAAAGATTTTATTTATTTATTTATTTGAGGGAGAAAGAGCATAAGTTGGGGGAGAGGCAGAGGGACAAACAGACTTCCCACTGAGCCTTGAACTCAACATGGGGTTCTATTCCAGGTCCCTGAGATCATGACCTGAGCCAAAGTCAGACACTTAACCAAGTGAGTCACCCAGACACCCCAGCACAGCTTTATCACAGATATTTTTTCCTCTTCTAGCCGGTAATATCTGAATTTGATGAGGATATTCATGTATGCAAAAATGCACAAACTGAAAAAATACACATAAATTATCATTTTGCAAGTAACACTAGTGGGATACTCACAGGTAACTGAATAACTATAACTCAAGTGAGAAAAGAGCTTTGTTCACTTCTATAAGGGTCAAGGATGGGTGGGCATTGACTCTAGAGAAATTGATAGGGCTTTGGCACCTTAAGGCCTCCAGATCATTAGATAGTATCAGTAATAAGTACAGAACCCAGGAGCAAGGGCACACTGCCCAGCAGACATGGACATATCCAGGAGACAATGGCATTCATCTTCTAGCTGCCTAGACTTGTTACTGGGCACAGATGAGACCTCCTTCAGTCCTGCTCCAAGTGTCTGAATTCCATTCATATACCTGCTGCTGCATGGGAATAGTGTGGGAGCCATACCACCACCCCCCCCACACACACACAAGTATCTGATAGAGGCTGGGTTACAACAGAGCTCACATAACTCAGTACCTCATTTGATCCTCTTGGCAGGTCCATAAAGCAAGTAATATCCCCATTTTACAGATAACAACATTGACCCTTACAGCAGTAGGTGTGTTATAACTGTCAGGTTGATTTCTCTAGCTATTAGTTCTAGAAAATGTGAGTTTTACCTATTTTTTCATGTTCTGACAACAGGAGTTTTGTCTTCACTGCCCTCTTAAACTCACAGAACAGTTAAATCACTTACCATGTATTCTTTTCAGCTTTTAGTTATTTTTAAATTATGACAAACATAATTCATATATTTAGGAAAAAGAGATGAGTGACCAAAAAAGAATCACACCATGGTGGAAGCCATAGGATGGTACAGGACCCAGAAGGAGCAGCAGTGCTTATGGACATGGTTACAACTAGGGGAAGATATGCGGTTGGGCACGCCTGCAGAAGAATGCCATGGAAGTACCTAACCATGAGGTGATTGAACTCATTTCTGGGTATGGATGAGACCTATTCTGGCTATCATGCAGGAAAAACCACTGCCCACTTTTTAGTGTAACACACTTTCAGAGTTTTCTCTGTGCACAAATGCATTATGCAAGTATTATATTTTTACAAAAATGGGCTGATACTGCATATGCGGTTCTGAAATTATTTTATCTTTATTATTTTTGCAATGTACCATGAACATCTTTTCCATGCACATGGATGAAAATTCTCTACTGAATGGCAGAGAGCATTATAGCTGGATCAAAAGGCTGCTGGTAACAAGAGTGACACCTAAAACAAAATATCAGCTTAAGGTTAAAGCACATAGCCTGGCAAATGCCTACCAGGGAAAGCAGCATCAGCAATATTCTCATCAGAGAAAACAAAATTGAAGGCCAAAGGCATTAAAGATATGGGATATCATGTAAGCCTCTTTGGCCCCTACCTCCGCCCCTCACGCCCCTGACACCCCGCTGCCCCCTTGGGGCAAATGGATCTTGTACATCTCTTTGCATCCAGTGGAAACCACCCATTTTCTGTTTTTTTCTTAGCTCTTCCTGAGCCCTTGACATATCTCCACATTCTCTCACCATCTCCTCACTGCCCAAGTGCCTTTCCTGTAAGTCCTCCTGATAGTCCTTGGGGGAATCATCTGTCCCCCTGTCTGTTTTTCTTTTTGCTTTCCTGGGCACGTAATCTTCAGCTGGGCGCTTTTCGGCAGCCCGTGGTTCACTCTCAGCCTTTGCCAGGGATTCTGGCTTGCCCTCAACATGTGGTTTTCCCTCATTGTTGGACATGCCCTGCTTTTCTTGCTTTCCCTCATCTTCTGGTTGTCCCCCATTATCTGGTTGTCCCTTATTCTGGAGCTTTCCCTCATGCCCTGGCTTCCCTTCCATTTCCAGCTTTTCTTCCTCATCTGATTTTCCTTCATCTTCAGGCTCTACTTCATCTTCAGGCTTTCCCTCAATTTCCAGCTTTCCTTCATTTTCATTGTAGAGTTTTTCCATGTTGAATTTTCCCTTCTTTTCCTTGTCCTGGGGCAGGGGTGGGGGGAGGGGTGGGATGGGAAGGGGAAGAAAAAACAAAGGAGACAAGGGAGACTAAGGACTTGGAGGTGGGAGGCAGATGCTGATATTACTGGCATTCTTCCCCTTGGCTGGGTTCCCCTGACTTCCCAAGCCCTCCAAGTGTGTCTTCAGCCCACCCTTTACCCCACAATTCATCCCACATGTGAGAGCCAACCATTTCCCTGGCAGGCCCTACCACCTTCTATGTGGTGGGGTGGGCACAATATATGTGGTATGGAGGATAGGCAATGGGGTCCTCAAATTCTGCCCAAACTGTGCCCTCCACACCCTCCCCCCCGTTCCTGTCCAATGGTCTCCCCCTTTCACTAACCTGCAGAGATTCTGGACAGGTTCCTCCTCCTTTTCTAGCCTTGCAGAGTGCTGGGGACAGACACACAGACCTGCAGACAGACAGGAGACAGGAGAGGGCCTGTGCACTCAGCCTACTTAAGTTTCTTTCCTGAAGCTGAGTCCTGTTCAAGCAACATTTCCCTCTCCTATCTCCCCCACATCCCAACCGCCATTAATTTTCAGGCCTCAGACTCCAGACCAGGATGCTTTCCAAATGGTTTGGGTCTCTGTGTCCTCCTCCGCTGCAGGCATGCCGCCCACCCTCTCCCCTTTTCCGCGGAGGTCAGTATTTCCTGTTAGGTACAGAGTGTGAGAGCGGGTTATTTCTAGAATATGTCTACATTTCACTGTCGCACTGCGGGGGCACCTCCCCGCATTTCAGGTCCAAAAATGGATGGAGGGCGCGGAGGAGGGGCGTCGAGGAGGCGGCGGTGGGGTGCTCCCTCCCCACCTGCCCACGTCCACGCTGCATCCCCCTCCTCACCGACCTCCTGGACCCCCATCCCACTCCGCGCTGCTCCCGGATCCTACTCCCATCCACCTCCACCTCTGACCGGGGCCGCCGGTAGCGCCCACCTTCACACTGACCTGCGGGGCCCGGGGCAGGCCTGCGCCTCCTCGGGCTCGCTGAAGCCCGCTCACCCCTCGCCCGCCGCCCGGGCAGCTCAGGGAGCTGGTTCCGCGCGGGCGACGGGAGCGGAGGGCGCAGGGACGCGACCGCAGGGCGGGCGAACGGGCGGGCGCGGGGGCTGCTGCCCACGTCGGCGCCCAGCCAGTCACGTGAGCGCCGCGTCACCGAGCTCGGTCCCCCACCCCGCCCCCATCCCCCCATCCCCAAGGCACCAAGCAACCACACACGGTGGGGGGCGGGGTGGCAAAGGGGGAATCAAGGAGAGAGCCGGAGCCTGGAGGCTTCCAGACCGCAGGTGCTTTACCTGGCGCATCTCAGGCCCTCGCACTGCATCCCTCAGCGATATACGTCATTGCCAGGTGTGACCGCTGATCACAGGGACTGTACCCGACTTTGCCAGGAGCGCTCAACACCTGAGTCCCACAGGCTGCTTTCAAGACCGGCTCTGCCTGACTCCAGAGCCCAGACAGTAGTACCGCCAGGAAGCGGCACTGCCACCTTGAGCAGCTGTGTTCCTGGACCTCTTCTCTGTACCCATGTTCTCTCTCCCTGAATGATTTCTGCTCATTTCCCCCAAGCACAGATGATTCTCAAAGCTCCATCTCCAGGCTGTTCCCTCCCCTTAGCCCCAGACCCTCTTTGCCAACTGTCTATTGGATACCACTGCTTGAATGTCCCTGAGGGACCTCAAAATCCTTACACCCCAACCTTTTTTCTGCTACTTCCTTCTCACCTTCTCTGTTCACTTCTCTTCACACTTGAAACTTGCACTCCAATATTGGACCGGTTCTCATGTAGAATGTCAGACAGCTAAAAAAGAAAGCATTAAAGTATTTTTTAAAACGTGTCATAGATGAACTGATTTATCATAATCCTTTGTCTACTACACAGTCTTAGCATCTACCTTTTGTCCCTCTTTTCTTTCCTTTCCTCCCCTTTATTCCCCTTCCCTTCCCTTTCCTCTTTCATACTGTGAAATCACCACCCAACTCAAAAACTAGAAAATTGCTGAAACTATAGTTGTTACAGTGTAAGAGCATGTACTTGGTTTTGACAATGTGACTATAATATGTCTTGATTTGGCTCATGTTTATCCTAATTGGAAATAACTGAACTTCTTGAATACATAGATTAGTGTATCCCCTTATGAATAATTTTTAGCTTTTATTTGTTCAAAAATTCCGTCTTCTTGTTTCTATCTCTTTTCTCCTTCTGAGATTCCTATCATGCATATTTTAAATATGCTTCATTGTTTCTCCTGTTTCTTTTAGGTTTTGTTAATTTTTCCTCTTTCTTTTTACTTTTTGCTCCTCAGACTGGATAATCTCAATTCATCTCTCTTAAGAGTAACTGATTCTTTCTTCTACATGCTCAAATATGCCATCAAACCCCTCTAGTGAGCTTTTTACTTCAGTTATTTTCACTCCAGAATTTCTATTTTGTTCCTTGTTATAATTTCTATCTCTATATTCTATCTCTCTGCTGATAGTTTGTATTTGCTGAGGCATTTTCCCCTCATTTCCTTAGTCCTTTGTCCATGGCTTCCTTTGGCTCTTTGAGCATATTTAAGAAAGTTGATCTAAAACTTTTTTCTAGTTTGTCTAATACATAAACTTTTTTATACTCAGTCTAATAATTTTTTCCTTTCCTAGAAATAGACCATAATTTCTTGTTTCTTCATATACCTTACAATCTGTGCTGGAATTTGGACATTTTGTATATTAGAAAATGTCAATTCTGTAAATTAGATCCTCTCACTTTCCAGGTTTTGTTGTTGTTCTTTGTTGTTGGTTGTTTCTTTGTTTGTTGACTTTTAAAAGTACTTTTTGTAAATTCTGTATTCTTTGTCATATGAGGTCACTGAAATCTGTGCCAGATTAGCTCAGTAATCAACTGGTATTTGGACAAAGTTACTTTAAATGTCTAGAGCCAACAGAAGAAAAATGCTTTCCCAGTCTTTGCAGATGAGCTCCAAGTTGAGATATTTTTAATGCTTTACTTTCTGCTTTTTCAGACCTTAAGACCAGCCCAAGGTGAACATTTAGGGTCTTCTCTGGCCTTTGCTGAGCATGTGTCCAATCTTGGTATGGACATATAGCATTTGATTTCTTTTATATAAAGTTTTTAAAAGTGCTTGTTTGTCCATGTATGTCTTTTCCCAGCTTCTCATACTTATGCTTGTCAGTCTGTCTATTTTTTAAATTTATTTTCAGCATAACAGTATTCATTGTTTTTGTACCACGGTGTTCCATGCAATCCGTGCCCTAATACCCACCACCTGGTTCCCCCAACTGCCCACCCCCCACCTCTTCAAACCCTTCTGTCTATTTTTTATTCTAAATGTTGTTCCTTGCCCCAGGCTGCTTTGGTCAATACCCATGACCTTAAATGCTTTTGGCAAAAGTTACCCAGAAAGCTGCCCCAGTCCCAGTCCGAGGAATGCTCTGTCTCATGTGACAAATGGAAGTTTTTGTGCTGGTCCTTGAGAGAACTGCCAGGTAGACTAAGACTCACAATCACAATTCTATAAGAATAGAATCTGAATTCTTCCCTTAGGTGCTAGCAATCTAAATCAGGATATTAAGCTGCCATGTACAGACTGTTGAAAATCTGGGGCATGGTGGATGGTAGGTAAACAATTTAAAATTTCTTACCACAGAGGAGTAGTAGAAATTTCACTAAATTTCCCCTTATTGTTATAATTTTTATTTTACTAGATTCCAGAGTTCTACAGAAATTGATTCTGATACTTTTTGCCAGTTTATTAGTTGCTTTTAGGAGAGGGATCAAGTCTCAGAATTCCATTGCCATTTTCAGTAAGTTTACTTTTCTTTCTATTTCTATTTTTTAGTGTTGGTAGTTTGTGTCTTTATTGGAATTTGTCCCTTTCATCTATCTCGTCTTACTTACTGTCACACAGCTGTTCATGGTATTACTGTATAATCCTTTGTAAACCTTTGGAGTTAAGAGTCATGTCCCCTCTTTCATTCCTGATTTTAATAATTTGAATCCTTATCCTTTTTTTTCTTGGTAGGTCTAGTTATAGCATTGTCAGTTTTTTTTTTCCCTTATATTTTCAAGGAACCAACTTCTGGTTTTAGTGATATTCTCTATTGTTTTACTATTCTCTATTTCATTTATTTCCACTCTAATCTTTACTATTTCCTTCCTTATGATTTTTTTTTGTTTTAAGCATTTTTTTCTAGTGCTTTAAGGCGAGAATTTAAATTATTGATTCGAGATTTTCATCTTCTTAATATAAGGATTTACATCTATAATAGTCCCTCAAAGCACTTCTTAACTATATCCCAAAAGTTACGGTTTGTTGTGTTTTCATTTTTATTCATCTCAAAGTAGTTTCTAATTTCTCTCATGATTTCTTCTGACTAAATGAAAATATACTGTTTAATTTATACATGTTTGTAGATTTTTCAGATTTCCTTATGCCTTCAATTACTAACTTAATTCCATTATTGTCAGAAAATATTATTTGTATGATTTCAATCCTTATAAATGTATATGGTATTTTATTATTGCCTACTATATGGTCTATCCAAGAGAAAGTTGGATAGAATATGTATTTTGAAGCTGCTTGGAGTATTTTATAGACGTCTGTTATTCTAGCTGGTTTGATTTTATTCAACTGTCTTTTCTTTTTTTAAAAAAAGATTTTATTTATTTACTTCTCAAGAGAGAGTGAGCAAGCACGAGTATGGGGTGGAGAGGGAGGGGCAGAGGGAGAAGCTGACTCCCGTCTGAGCAGGGAGCCCAATGTGGGACAATCCCAGGACCCTGGGATAATGACCTGAGCTGAAGGCAGATGCTTAACCGACTGAGCCACCCAAGTGCCCAACTATCTTATTTTCTTATTGATATTCTTCCTACTTGTTCCATCAAGTTTTTAAAGTGTCATTTTGAATTCTCTAGTTACTATAATCAAACTGTCTGTTTCTTCCCTTTTTTTCTGGCAGTTTTTGCTTCATGTATTTTGACATTTATGTATGTTTACATATGTTTTAATATATTCTTGATGGGTTGACCTTGTCATTATGAAATACCTTTCTTGTTCTCTGATAACATTTTTGTTCCAAAGTCTATTTTGTCTGATATTAAAATACCCTTCTCATGGTATATATTTTTCCATCTTTTCACTTTCATTCTGTTTATTTCTTTGAATCTAAAAGTCTTTCTCTTGTAGATAGTATGGAGTTGGATTAATTTGTATTTAATGTAATCATGGGTAAGGTAGGATTTACATCTGCCATTTTATTATTTGTTTTCTATATGCTTATTGTCTTTTTTGCTCATTTATTTCTCCACTATTGCATTCTTTTTAAAAGACATTTTTAGTATGCCATTTTAATTCTCTTGTTATTTTTTAAGAAGATTTAAAAAAATTATTTTCTTAGTGGTTGCCCTAGGGATTAAAATTAACATCTTAAGACAATCTAATTTTGACAATTCTAACTTAACTTCAATACTATTAAAAAGTTTGTTCTAATATATCTCCATTCCCTCCTTCCTCTTTTGTGCTATTATTGTCGTAGAAACTACACATTTAGCCATTGTATACCCATAAACACTGTTTTATAATTATTGTTTTTATGTAGTTTTCCTTTAAATCAAATAAGAGTCACAAACATACATTTATACTCTCTGTATTAATTTTTTATTGTTGCTGTAACATAGTACCACAAAGTTCATGGCTTAAACAACAAAAGTTTATTCTCCTACAATGCTGGAAGTTATAAAGTTTTTTAAAGATTTTTATTTCTTTATTTGACAGAGAGAGAGAGAGATCACAGGTAGGCAGAGCAGCAGGCGGGGTGGGGGGAGAAGCAGGCTCCCTACTGAGCAGAGAGCCTGATGCGGGGCTCAATCCCAGGACCCTGAGATCATGACCTGAGCCAAAGGCAGTGGCTTAACCCACTGAGCCACCCAGGTGCCCCTGGAAGTTACAAATTTGAAATAATCTTATGGGGTTTAACCAAGGTCTTAACAGGGTAATTCTGCCTGTGGAAACTTTAGGGGAGCATCCATTTCTTTGCCTTCTCCAACTTCTAGAACTGCATTTCTTGATTTATGTCCACTGTCTCCATCTCCAAAACCACCAGCATAGCATATTCAAATGTCTCTGCTTCCATCATCACATTGTTTTCTTCCTCTTCAATGTCAAATTTCCTTCTGTTTTTCTTTGATAAGAACAGGTGTGATTGCACTTGGGCCCCACCCAGAAAATCCAGTATGATCTCTCCATCTTGAGATCTTTAACTTAATCCCACCTGCAAAGTCTACTTTTGCCATATAAGGCAATATTTATAGGTTTCAAGGTTTGGATATGAGTATCAGTGGGGAGGCCATTATTTAGCCAACTACTTTGTCTTTTATATTTACCTATTTTAGTTACCTGGTCAGTGGTCTTTATTTCTTAATGTGGATTCAAGTTACCATCTAGTGCCCTTTGATTTGAGCCTTAAG